GAACCAATTGAAGAGAATACAGTCTTAGCAGGTGGAGGATTTTGGGCAGATGAGCAGAGCATTGATTGAACGCGACCGTCCGTGACGAGCGCAGGGTCAAGAACCAATCAAAAAAAAATCAAACGAAACCTTCAGTCTACTCCTTATCACCATCATTATCTAGGACACGTGCCCATCTTTCGGGTATCTTCTCGATCCCCCTCTTCCAGATTTTCGATGGCCGCGACGAAAAAAAAGTGGTCGGTTTCGTTGTCGTGTTGACGACGATCATCAAATTTTTTGTTCCTTCGACGGTGCTTCAGCGCTCTGAAAAGGCGATGACCAGAAGGTGCTAGGTCTGGTACGTAAGCCGGATGTAACAATACTTCCAATTCGAGTTCCATAATTTTTTGACGCGTTTCGTTTGCCTTAAATTCTCGCATTTTTGCAGCTGGTTAGCGTAGGCTGTGGCCATTACTGTAGTGCCACTGTTTAGCATACCCCAGTAGATCATTCCACAGCAGCCACCAGCAACACAACAAAACCTTCTTCTCATAAAGATCTGCTCCGTAGGTGGCTTTTCTCCTCGCGCGACCCAGTGGCGCTCACATATGTATTTGGTTTGGGTAAAGCACCCCGCTCTCATCTCCGGTCACTATGTCTTGTAAGTGCTTTCGATTGGAACGAAGTAGATGAGATTCAACCACGTGCATACTGTTCGTCTGGTCAGACAGGCGTAGTTCATGAGGAACCTTTTCACGAGCTCTTTTAGTTTATTTTTGAAATCCTACAGGAACGTTCTACAGCAATCGGGCGCGAAAACATTTGGAAAGGGATTTGGTTTCTCCCTGGAGGAACATGTTTAGTGTTGCAGGACTAATCTTCCAACCTTATATTTCTGTTAAGGGAAGTCAGAAGATTATTCCTTTCGAAGTCCGAATTCAATATTCAAATTGTGTCGAGAGAAAAGAAGTCGCGAAAAAATCCGCAATAATTATGCATAAATATTATTATTGCATGAAGATTGTTGTAGACATCTTCAGAAACTCGAACTATTCGAAATACTAACCGGTTTTGAGACAAAGAATCACTATGACATCAGGTCGCTGACAGGAACGTCGGTAAGTGATGTGGCTGAGATTTTCTGCGCTTACAAGGTCCCTTTTTCCTATTTGTGGGGAAAATCGACAGTGTACTGTGGGGTCCCTGATTTTGGGATCTTTTCTGTTCAAGAAACCCTCTTCCGCCATCTCGTCAATTTTGTTGAATTGGAAAAGAAATGAAGGATAGAAGAATAAAGTCTTAGGTCATTAATCAATTCCGTCTGAGGCATGCGCTCACACACCGACTCCCACTTTGAATCGAAAAAGCGTGTTGAATGCGTATGTGGCCTATACAATAATTTGCGACGAGTCTGGTACCAATTAAGCGACCTCGGAGGGATGGAGGATATGCTGGCCTGGGCGGATATCGATCCGGGATCGTACCTGTAGCCATGCGTGTGTGAAGTGGGCAACTTACCAGTACTCCGCCCATCTGAGTAAAGCATGAAGCTTTGAAAGTTGTAAGCCTGAACGTTTGTCAGCCCTTACCATACCGAGGGTGAGTCATGTGTTCGACTTCCTTCAAAGGCTTATAATCCTGTTGACGGTTAAAGGAGGTTCTGCTAACACGTTGATCCGTACTTCCCACTAAAATGTCATTTTAGTTGTATCGCGCCTCTGAAAAGTCAAGCTGTTGTTGCCGAAAATGTTGGGGGAAAAATCGCGGATTCCAAATGAGCATCACTGATCACAGTGGAAGAGTAAGTTGATGGGACTTTTGCTTCCTGTACTTTCGACACTTTACCTTTGGGATAACTGACAGGACGAAATCACGCTGTTGGAGATTGTCGTGAAGCCCACGACCTCATGGAGATTGTCGTGAAGCCCACGAATTCTTAACACCAGGGCTGTCACTACACCGCGCACGCATTATTCGACACGCACTACAGTTTCCAGCAAACACGCCGCACGCCGTTCGCATCGATTGCCACGTGCATTGAGCGCCGCACGAAGTAAGCACGCAACACCTCAGCATTCTCCACCGTGATGCAATATCGCTCGGTCTGTTCTTCTCTTCGCGCTGAGTCATCTTCGCAGCGTCGTCCATCGACCTCGTCCACAGGAAGGATCGCAGGCACTAAGGATAACGCACTGCTATGACTACACAGAAGGAGGAGAGGTTCCAAAGTGCGAGAAGGATGTCGGATGGGAAGCGAGCTGCTAGCTGCCGCAGGGCTGCTGAGTCCAATTGCAGCTCGAGGAGGATACGGGCACCTAGACACTTCCAGGACGACCGAGGGAAATCGGGGTCGCGGGGCGCACGGTCCTTGCGCAACATACGTCCGCGGGCACCGTGCTCGTCTCCCTCCTCGAGGGCAGCGGGTGCCGACGTACCCTGGTGGCGTAGGAGCTTTTCGTGTGTAGTTGTCGAGTCGTAAAGCCTGGATACTTCACAATAATGAGAAACGATTGATAGCGTCAATGGCCACACCCATCGACGACCATGTCTTGAAAATCCTCAGAAGACTCCACAATTCACTATAGAGAAGACATGTTGGGAATTCAATCAGCTGACTGTCCCGGGATGCAGTATTAGGAAACATTTTTTGGTAACGGAAATACTGAAGCCAACTCTACTCAACTGCCCACAACTGAAATCTCGTCCAAACACCTTTACATATTAGTTCTGTAGTTTTTTCCGCTTTCTTTGCAATCAATATGCCCCCGCTCTTTATCCTAACGAGGGTACCTCAAAAACGTCGGTTGCTGTTAACCTTAAATTAAGTATTAGATGTTCCCACTGCTAATCGGATCTTTTAAGGAGCACGCTCGATTAAGAAGGCCCTGCAGATGCTCTTGTTGTGACTGTACATTGTGTGCATCTTGCATTTGCATCAGAGATTGGATTGATGTAGAAGCACCCCGTGGGAATCCGGTGGGTTAAAGCAGCATTGAGAATGTCATGGATAGCAATGTTGAGCACATTTTATATAATACATTCGTTATTGAGACTGAAATTATGCTTCTGCAGAAGCCCTGCCTGAGCTTCTTGAAAAGACAATCTTAGCGATTTTCATCGTAGAAATAATGGGGGCCGCGTCGACTCCGGTGGTCCACGCGGACATAGCCACCATGTGATCGAAAAATCGTTCTTGCAGACCGAGAACTTGGTAAATCTGCACGGCTCTTCCTATACCATATGAACCGAAACGGCCATCAATGCAGTTCTTAGTGACGAGAGGCCGAAGCTCTCATACATCACTCGGTGCAGTACTTACAGAACCCGTCTCGATACCTGGCAACTGTACCACTCTGGGGTATACTGTATAAAATCGGAGCTCGTAAAAAGGATATATACTCGCGATATTAAAGACTACTATTATAAACATCGAATAGAGACTCTAAGGGTTGGGTTCACCAGTAATGGCCGAAGGGGCGAAGCTGTTGGTAGCCATGCTGGGTAGAAGCTTTCTTACGATGTTTTGATATTCGAAACCCCTAAGTTCGGATCACTGAGCTTGCAAAAATTCTACAGGGTGGAAAAAATTCATAGAGGTGCCCAGAATTTTCAAAACAGAAGCGGAAATTGAGGGCGCTATCTCATTGGTCATTGATGTTCTCGAGCGGGTAATAAAAAGCTGCATTCGTCACTACTGCGAGCCCGAGTGGTCCAGTTGATCGTCCTCGCTCGAATGACACGAAGCATAACAGATTCTTTATTTAGTTTGACGCTTCCATTGGTCCATTCTATTTGTTACCCAGTTTCCAAACCTGACCATTGTACTACCGCTGTTCCCTTAGCTTCTCGAAAAATCCAACAGTTGAACTAGCAGTTGCCCACTTCTCTTTTTATCAATCAAGCCTAAATTACCGAAAAACCAACTTCAAACCAGGAAAGTTCAGATTGGCAGAGTAAAAACAAGAAGCGGCACGACACTAAACTTTAATGTCGAGGACGATTCAAATCGATTCGCTTACATCAAAGGCCCATCATGCTGTGGATTTGGCTGTTGTACTAAGTGTTTCAGAAACAAAAAGTTCAAGGTATTTCTAAGAATTCTCGGGATCAAATCCCGACCCGACACCCGCCCAGACCAGCCGAGTCCTCCTTTCCTGCTGGGTTGGTAAATGGTCATTGGACAAAAACACCTAGTTGTACAACGATTGGCCACTACAGTTTACTGTACAGGCAACAAACACCTTCGAGCCATCCTCACAGTTCTGAATGAGAGTCAATTGCGGAGGCTCATCCATGTTCTGTCATGGCCTTGATGAAATGATCCCTTCGGGATGCGATACGTATTTCCCCTACCCTTATATTTTTATATCTTTTTGGGCGAGCCTCCGTAAGAGACTTGGATGGGGACCTGGGTGGTGTACGACATTAGATCCGTGTGGCATAAGCTCTCGCCATACCCTTCCCGGGTCGAAGGGCTCCTAAGTTGTAGGTTATAGGTGATTGGGGCGCGATATGTACAGGGGCCATCTAGAGGAGAGCCAGGGCCAAGTGCTAGTGACCATCCTGGAGGTGCTTTTCCGCAAGACCGCTCTTCATGCTGCAAGCTTGCGGTAGTCTTTACGAATTTGAATCTACTGTCCGCTTCCCAAGAACGTCGTATAGAACCCTCCATGGCTCTACAATGTAGCGAAAGCTCGCTCTGATTGGTAGGGTTAAGCGATAACATTAATCTCTGCGACTAATTTTATGAACTTCTCCCATGGATCAGATAGAACGAAGTTTCCTTTCAGGTATATTCCCAAAGGGATAGGTCGCAGATAGGTATGATAACGAAGCAGTTCGGTGGTGTAATAAAGGAAGCTGTGAGTGACGCTGATACATTCAGAGTTACATGTTAGTGTTTATAATTTTCATGACAGTTTTGGAAATTCTCTGACCATTCCCAGCTTGCAGTTCCACCAACATTGCCTGTGACCTCGAAAATGATCCTCATTGCCGCTGTTTTTTTGATTGTGAGTTACCATTACTCCAGTTTACTATTCCATTACTTTGCCAATTATATGTAATTGCTATCTTCTAAGATACCGTACAACATTAAGTTCTTGTTCAGGATTTCATTGCCTTTGAAGACAACTAAAGGGAGAATAAGCACAGATTGTGAGTGAATCCCCCGTTTTGATAAAAGACTGCCCTAGGGGTGTACAATTGTTGAGCTTCATATGGAGATAGAGTAGACTAACAGACCGGCTAGAATCTCAATCCTTACATTAACGCGGGTGCATCGGTTTTACCCGAAATTGTCTCGAGAAAAAAATAAGTAAGCAAAATCCTGCCAAAGAAAGCGACATTGGGAATCTCAGCCTTATTTTAGTCGAAACCCAGCAAGCATTAAATGGCGTGGGGCTCAAGATAGGTTGGACGTTGTGATAGCTCTGATAGAACCTTTGATCCTCTAGAATAAGGGCGTTGTCGGGTCCAAAACAGCTCAGGGTGGACCCGTAAGCTCAACAACCGGTCGCGCCGGTGACCACGCCCAAAAATGGACGTGTTCAATGGACTTGCAGAAGCTGCGCTACCTCCACATACACGCACACTATTAAGATTTGAGTACACTTTTCTTTTTAAAATGCAATCTGCTAATTGTCCGAGACACGTTCACCAAGGGGATATTAGAAAAGAATATTGAGTAATAGAGACTAACAGCCCAGTTCTTGATTTTATAAGGTTTGCCTTCCAGGCAGAGGAAATGATTCAGCCAAGGACCGAAATACCACGAGATCCAGTCATTCTCTTGTTCCTGATTTATTTGTGTTGTTTACTTGTGCAATAATTTAAATGTGTCCACTCACCAAAATATCCGTTTCGGAACAAAATCTCTTCACCACAAAATACTAATATACTCATTGATTATTTGTCTGGAAAACTCGGTTAATAATGTTCGGTTAATAATGTGGTGAATAAAGCTTGAAAATCTTACTCGTAATTGATTACTCCCTTATATGTATGCGTTGACTCTTCTTTGATGAAGCGATCCTTTAGTAGGGAAGCAAAAGGACAGACTTAGCGTAGTGCGAGCAAGGAAGAGCAGATGTGATCGATGAAGACCGGGCCCGCGGCGATGTCAATGTCGCTCAAGTTTCAAAGCTGTAGTTCGGAGGACGTTCAGCATTAGGAACGGGTCGTGGAAGAGCAGGGAGTTGGATAATGGGCTGGAATTAGTGATCAGTCGGGTAACGGCGGAAAGCCGTTGATAGTAGCCTCGCGACATCGTGCTGCTGAGATCGCGTCCACTAGTATCAAACCCAGCCTCTCTTACAATCATTAGAACGTCAGCTTTCGATTTGTACCCATTCACTGCGCGCTCCAACCGAAAATCACATCCTTATCAAACTTTTCTCGATACGGGGGAAGTAGAGGTGGAGGGGCAGAGGAGGTGACATGCCGCTTGAGCTCAACGTCTACATCCTACCTTTGGTGCCACACGTCGTGAATACCGCGTTGTTTACAAATTAACATTTAAACAGAGAATGCAGATGATGCGTTCTTTGTCCCTTTCACTAGGGCGATTGCACTAGCAATTGCATTTTTACATATCTGATCCCACCCATGCCGGCTAAGTGTTAGATCCGAATTGGGCGGTGTAATTTTAATAATAGGCCCGATTTATATTATTATGGCACGTACCATTTCTTCGTTGAACAGACTTTAATCGAATGGGAGGACTGAAAAAAGTGGATTTGGATATGATTGTGAGGAAAGAACTACTGATGACGTTCTTGGGAGTTGAACATGTTTGTTGCCGAGATACGACATAAGACTTCCATTCAGAATCCTTGAGGCTTTTGAGAGCATTGTAGGCCTGTACAAGGACTTGCAGGGTGCAGCTGATGTAGAGGTCTGTAACTGAGTCCTTCCCGACAGTCTGCAACCAGTTAACCGCCCTTGGAAACTTAATGACTTGTTGGCTAAGGTGGTATGACAAAGCCCTACTCCAACAGAGTCAACAGATAAAAACGACCTCGTAGATACTATCAACCTTCCTTTTGTCGGTCGATTCTTTGCTACAGGGTAGTCCATTTGCGCATCACTTCACGCAGTTGCGGTTGGTCAAGCGGGCTTCTAAATAATATGTTGCCACTCTTAATAGCCCTTCTTATTGCAGTAGCTGTCTTCTTCTATGTTCAGGCAAGTAATCGTTACATTCATGATGAAGTCTGTAATGGTAGCTGTGTGAGGTTCTGGCTGCACACCCCTCTATCATAACGTCGTATAAGTCTCTCCTAGGAATCAACCCTCATTTCCTGTACCTTCTTTGAGAAGTACCGTTTTTCCGGTGTAAACATTGGACGTGAACAAAGCAGGACCGGAATGAAGCAGCAGCAGAATGTTGCTGAACAAAAATACCTTAAAATTTGTTTGTTATCTGTTTGATACAGTTTAGTCTGGGAAATAGCTCGGGGAAAGTCTCTTCTGTAATAGCAAGGACCGTAAACGTGGGAGGGACGGGTTCTATATGCAGCGAATCGTTTTCCGTTGAGACTGAGCTGTAGGTATCGCCACAGGTTCGACCCTCACACTCCATCACGAACTATTTCAAATGTACTATCTAACCTCTTCGGCAAATGATAGCCACGAAGATATCTCGCCAAGTAATCACTGGCCACTTCCCCCTACGGTACGACCCTGACACGAAACCGAGTGATTATATCCCTCTAATGTGATTTTAGGATTTACAAAACTTTATGAATATTGGTTCCCGTTTTCTGTAAAAATCATGAACAGTTTTTAGAAGCGAAGGAAAGCCGTAGAAGCACCGGCACCTGTTTCGACATCATCAGTGAGTTTGGATTGTACGACCGATACTATCCAATGAACTGTTTACAATGCTTTGGCTCATTTCGACACAATTTCTTAACGATAGTGAGAGCTTGAGGCACGTTTCTCATAATACGAAGTGGTTCAACGCCAGGGAACTTTACATTTCTATTCAATCAAATTTGATAGCCTTTCACTAAGTTCTTATCGGTTTCCGATTCCCGAAAGAGGCTTCGAAGTCATGCTCTGAATGATTGGACAGCTTTTTTATCTGCTGAAATGTTGTAAGGTCATGAAAGTGGTGTAACGTCAACACTGCCTTGGAAAAGGGCTTACTCAAATTTCCTACCTGCTTTGAAAAAAATCCTCAAAGATTTTTTGCACTTCTCAGCAAGGAGGAGGAGCGACGACAGTATCAGAGAACTTACGCAGGCAAGTCGCAGATCTCCCAGCAACCACTCCAGCCGTTGTTGGCCCAGAATTGGGTGAAGCGCCTAAGTCGGACTCATCAGGATCTTCATCATCAGTGTAAGTGTGTTTTTGTTCTTTTCCTATTTAATTCAGTTCTCTCTTGCAATTGATCCACCATCCATAGTGAAGGTCTCAAACGGTCAGTCTCAAAATAAAAACAAAAAAAAANAAAAAAAAACGAAACAGAACAGGTCGGCTATGACTTCTCACTCCTCTTGATGCCAGCCTTGAAAGACATCTGCGGAGGGTTACTCTATTACAGAAGGGGTTACTGTATTACAATCCCAATGAAAGGATACGGAGACCGCGGAACCACTGCCGCAGGCCGTGGGAATTCGGGGAGAAGTTCTGTTACCCCAATATGGGTAATCATCGATGGCTAATCATAATACCATTCCCAGAAGCAGCTTTACTGATGTTGTCTGTGAAGGAAGCGGATCGAGACGGAGAATTCAATGGGAGGAAGAGAAAAAGAGGGAGTTGATGAAGAGATTTTCTGTTACAAGGAAAACTGGCAGAAGAGAAAATGACAAAACTAAAGACCTGCCAGGAGAGTTGATGGACGTCAGAGAGTAACAGGAGTTGGCAGAAGGCACAGAAGTAACGGTAGTGAGACGATCATGTTAAGTTCCTTGTAGAGATCAAGCCATTCGTCTTTACCTACATATATGACCAAACTTGAGCTAGCAAATAGGTTTCCACGAAGGGGATTGTAGGATTGCACCGACTCATTTTCAAAATGATGGCAGAGCAGTTTTAATTTCCGGTAAACCACTTGTTTATTGCGTTCGGTCAACCTAGATGGAATTCGCATTTTCCAGGACTCCAGATCCAAAGAACAAAAAGGATGAGAAAAAGAAGTCAAGTGGGTTATAATACAATCTACTGGCTCTTCACATCAAACTGGCCGATCGGTGAGAAGCCATCGATCACCCAAAACTACCACCTCAACTTATGGAACCCCTTCCACTTGCTCCCCCACCACGAAACAACTATCACCCTTGTGCATTCGCTGGATTCATCGCGAATTCGAATCACTCATCCGGCTCCCCTCCTCTCCCTATCGAGCTGACTTTTGGTAGACACAATGTTAATTATATCCTGGAATGCGTATCCTAGAGGTTGCCACAAGCGCCTAAGGACTGTAGCCCCAGAGTCATTCGAGTTTTCGAGTCCCTATACATCGTGTATTCGGTAGCTTCCTTGTATAGTGGAATGGATGCAATGAGAAGATCAGATTCCTTTCATGCGCCTTCCCAAAAGCCTAGTGCTGATTCAAAATGGGTCTGCTATCTTCTCCTTGAACGGCGTGCTCGCTCGCAGCATGTAATCGCGTGTAGTGTAGGGGAAGATTCGAATTCGCAGAGGAAGGAAAGGCCGTCGCCGCGGAACCACTGCCGCAGACCGCGAAAATTCGGGGAAAGTTCCGTCACCCATTCAAAAGTATTACCAGCTGGTATTACAGATTCCTTCGAATGCGCGCACACGCGGCAAAACTTTGATACTAGTGGTCTACGGTATGGTACAGCAGTAAACTAAATCACCTATCATGTAGGTGCCACACCCAAAACCGATCACTACATTACGTGCGCCAACCACCCAGTTTTTTTCTATTAGTAAACAGCATGTTATCCTTATCGCCGCTAGACTATGGGAGATCTTTCGACGCGAGGGGCCACATAGCGAGCTGGGTGAAAGCGGTGCTTTGTTGAGATTGAGCGCTTTCAGCGTATAACACTGAGCGTTGAGCACGGTGTGTCGAAGCCGCATTCGCTGCTTTCAGACCTCAACGTCCGTCCGTCCGACCGACCGACCGACGCGTGCGTGCTGCGACGGCGGTCGCTAGAGTAGTGTTGACAGCTCCGGCACGTGATCTAGTGTAGTCAACAACGGTCAGGCGCCGCCGTCGCAGCACGCACGCGTCGGACGGTTGGAGGTCGAGGTCTGAAAGCGGCCATTAGCGTTCGCCCCGCTGCTGACGATGTTTGCTTAGAGGCTTGTTATTTTCCAAGCAAAGCTGCATATAGCTTTCCATGATGGTATACTTCCTAGTCAAGAAAAATATGAAATCCGTATAAGAGAAAAAAACGAAAAAGTGATTAAACCAATCCATATGAGATCGGTCAAGAAATTAATCAACGCCGACCCGCGCGATATTGATCGACGGCCGGCAACGCTCAACGCTCAACGCTCCTCTCTGAAAGTTGCCAATCTGGAATCAGATGCTGCCAATTTTTCTTTAAGAAGTGGTTTTCCTTGCGCCACCGCCACACCTAACATCTCTTAAATTATTCACTTTAAACTAGAATAAACTTGATGAGTACTGAAATTGATCATTACCAGAGTCGGGACATAGGAAAAAGAAGTCTAAAAGGAGCAAGCGGGCACTGAAATCAGGAAAACAAGGCTCTAGTGGATCAGACAAAGGAAAATAGAAGGAAACATGACAAAAAATGCAAAGTAATTGGTCGTGCGCCTATTCTTGAGCTCACTAGTAGTGCGCTATTCAATTGAAAATAAATGTTTTTGATGGATGAACATTGTTTTCTGAACATTTTGAGTAATTTATGAATAATTATCTGTCCGAAGCAAATTTTTTCCAGTTAAGACTTTCAGAGAATCATTTTTTTNTTTTTTTCTTCAGCAGCAAGCTTCTCTAGTGTGTTGTTATGCTCAACTAATGATCACAGAATCCCTTTTGAAATATGGATTTTATTGGAGCACCGCCAACGTGTCGACTGTCAAGTCTCCTCTATCTCCTCGCGTCCCGTTGATCATCGATTTCTACCAGCAAGCACCAGTAACGCCTCCATTCGCCCCTGTCGGAGCCTGAGTGGCCCAGTGGATCATCCTCGCTTGAGGGGTACACGATATTGCATTCCTTTCGTGCAAAGCTTGGAGTCTGAGCACTGGCAGCAATCCCGCTGTTCGCTTGAAATCCCGAAAGGTTCAGTGAGTAACTGCCCTGATCCAGGGGATCCAAGAGGATTACGATATCACATACTGCGTCTGGCCTACCTTATCCCCGATTCCTTGCCGTAAGTAACGGATTCCCTGATCTTCATCCGTTGATGGAGCTCGGAACTCCAGACAGAGTGGTCAATGAACGAAAAAAATCTTAAGGATGAGGTCTTTTAGTATTCATCAATTCCGTTTGCGGCATACGTCTCGCACTCGACTTCCATCCAGAACCGTAGAGATATAATGAGTGCGTATATAACCTATACAATGACTTGCGGTGGCCAGCCGATGAACAAGTCAGTGCTTTTATCCTCTCAAACGAGTCTGGTACCAATTAACCGACCCCGGAAAGATGGAAGGCGTGGTTTGCCTAGGCGGATATCGATCCGGAATTCAGACCCCTGACCGTGCAGTAAGATAGTGCACCCCTTGCCACTACAATATTTCCACCCGAACGAAGAAAACGAACAAAAAAATAAAAAGAAATAACTCCCTGTCAAATATTTAGTTTTCCCATACTTTCAAGAAGCCTAAGCAGTTATTATTTGAGTATAATCACACCAGAAGGAAGTTTTGTTGTCACGGGAAAAATATATAGGTGGATAAGACTTGTAAATCGGCCCAAATAAAGTTGATTGACGTTAAGAGACGTCGAACTAAAGTGGATTGACATTAAGAGACGTCGAAATGAAGTTGATTGACGTTAAGAGACATCATGGTCCATCGTTCTATGGCAGTTGACTCCCTCCATGCTCGCAGTCAACTTCTCTACGCAGAACTCCAAGAAACCTGGACCCCACACAGGAAGAATCGTCACAGTATACGTTAAGCTCAGCGAAGCAGCGAACTCCTATTTGCCCTTCTACTTTTACTCACCCATAAAATCACGAAGTATGGGTTATCCTGATAAAAGGGAAAACAGTGAGGATTTATAAATTCTGTCGGAAGAAATGGTCGGTCCTCCGTAGTTCTAAGACAAACAAAAAAGAACAAATAATATTAGAAAACGAAAGTTTCCATTGATCTTTACCCAATCAATCCATTTACGTGCTATCTTATCAAGCGCTGGTAGGCATTTNCCCATAAAATCACGAAGTATGGGTTATCCTGATAAAAGGGAAAACAGTGAGGATTTATAGATTCTGTCGGAAGAAATGGTCGGTCCTCCGTAGTTCTAAGGCAAACAAGAAAGAACAAATAATATTAGAAAATGAAAGTTTCCATTGATCTTTACCCAATCAATCCATTTACGTGCTATCTTATCAAGCGCTGGTAGGCATTTTCTATGTCGGCACACCCTTTCGCTTATTTACTCGGCCTTTTGTTCACGCTACACGCCCGTTCTGATCAATTCTGACAGCGCCCGTGTATATTGTTTGCTTTTCATAGATTCTTGTGATTTTTCCTGACTTTTTACTCGATATTTCCCTTTTCCCAGCATCTTCAAAGGGCTGAAAGCTGACAGACCCCTTTAGTGATGCCGTCTTCCATTCATTGTACTTTCAAGCCTTATAAAGCTAGACCCATTGTTTCAGGGAAAATTACACAGCTTTTGGGAGATCTCCGAAAGTTTAAGGCAGCTCCCTAATCTGGGAAACCTTGGCTTGGGTCTGCGAAATCGGCGAGCCAGTGGGTGTGGGAGCTGTGGGCATGTGCCAGCGTGGATTGCATGTCACCATGGGCGTTTCGACTGTTTAGTATTTTTTCTTTCATTTTTTCAGAATAGTCCGGAAAGTGGTTTCATGCTATTCTTCACTATCGGCTAAAAATGATATACAGCCGTTGCCACTGCCATTACGATTCCGAATGGAAATTGAATATTTGATGTCTGAAAAAAGCGATATCCATCGACGACTCCTGTGCCCTTTCTGACGTTAAAGACTCTACCCGACAAAATGCGAGCCTCTTCATCTCGAACTTCTTATTGCTGGTTTTGACATTACGCCTATGCAGAGTTTACTATCCTGATAGACGTGGTCGCTTAATGCTTCTGGTATCATTCCATTCCATCTTATCTTGACATTTTCCATTTTGCAGCTTGTCCTGCGTCTAACGTGGTTACCTTCATCTGACCTCCGTGCCATCTTCATTATCCTAGAGTAGCTGCTTCCCACAATTCTTGCCTACGGGCTAGCCGTAGAAGATTATGAGCCTAACCATGTCTGGCATTCTTTCCTGTAAATATATGTGAGGTCGGGTTCTAGAGAATAACCGCGAACTTCCTAAATCCCAACCGTGATAACAATGGCAGCCTGATCAGCACCACCCTCAACAGCTAAATCATAGAGGATAGGAGGATAAAGTTTTTTGGCGTTAATCAATCCCGTCTGACGGAGCGCCTCCTCACTCGACTTCCTTTCAGAATTGGAGAATGCAGCCAATGTACAAGTCATTGCTTTTTTCCTCCCAGACGAGTCTGGTACCAATTCACCGACCCCGGAGGGACGGAAGACGGGATTTGTTTAGGCGGATCCTCCATTACTGCTTCATTCCGGATTGTCTCTGCATATTTCTTGAAGAAAGCTTATCTTCACCTTCAGTAGCTGGGGAATATGATATTCTTGTATTCTGCTCAAGACCATTCTCTACCAGTACGTTCCGCCGTTCCTTCATTTTACTCTCGTTTTCGTTTGAATTTCTGCAGAATTTCGTTTGAATACCCGCAGACTTGATGCCATCAAGGATGGTTTTTAGATCCCCATCCATTAGTCTTTACGTGATAGCATCCAACGTTACCAAGGAACGGAAGTTCTTCAGAGCTCATACTTGCTGTACCCAAACGCTACGTCTACCGCTTTCTTCGAGCCAAAGTAACTAGAAAGCCTCCTGTAAATCAGGGTATACGTTCATGACTGGAAAGAATAAGTGCCGTCGCGTATCTTCACTTTTATTCCCCAATGCACAGGATTTGATGTATGCTCTCACTGTCTTCGGAACAGCTTTTTATTTATTTCGAACCCCCCACCCAAGAATCACCTCTGGTTTGGCCGGTATAACTCTCTCTTCCTTCAGTCTGCCATCAGTGACTACCCTTCCCAGTGAAGTATCTGTGCCACCCTTCTTCCGTTTTTTTTTCTCTCCAAAAAAAGTTCTGGAACGCGGAACTGGGTAAGCAGAAGGAGAATCCCCCGACAATAAGCTGAAAGGTAAATATATAAAAACAAGGGAGGAAGAAGGGCAGGAGAACCAGTCTTTCTGGGTCGTTTGTTCCGTTGAACTTTTGCGACACTCTTCTAAAACTGTTGATTGACTAATAACTCTTTTTATATTGTGTATGATCATGTATTCCCCTCTTTCTGCTTCGAAGTCGTGAGCTGAAGGGGAGGAGATCCGTATGAAATCTCTGTGAATGCATTGGCGTGTGTGCTTCAGGGCGAAATGGGCGTTTCCGACCAGCAGCTACTACAAGAAGCAAGAGAAGTCATGAAAAAAGCTTATTGGTGAGATTTTGAGGTTTTTACTATGTTTTGAAACTAGAGATGAAAGAAGGGTACGGCCAGGTGAGGTCTCTGTCCTCTGTATAGTTCTATGATTGAAATCCCACCGATACCCGCTAAGAGCAACGAATCCTTCTACTCTTCTGGGCCGGTCAGTGAATGGCCTATGAAGATAGGATCGGTGAGCAGTATATGTATGGCTTATGTCACTCACTGTTGATAACACATTCGGGGAAGCTTTCAAACGACTCTACGATGCACAATAGTGGGCGAATACACGGCTTATTCCAAAATGGGATTGATCAATGTATAAGAAACAAAAGTTGTTTAAAGGCACAGTTCACGATAACTTTGAGGTGCCCGTTTTTATTCGAAAAGCAGAAGTATAGATTGGGAATAGTTCATCGGTAGTGAAGAAAGCGAGAGAAATCGCCGATCTTGAGAAAAATATGGCTCCTCGAAAGTAGACAAAATGGAGGTTGGACGAGATTACCACGTCCTTCACTGTCACTATAGGACATGACAAATTGTTTGAACTTCTTAATGGGTTCCCTTGTGATCGGTGGGGTAACGGAACTTCCCCCGATTGCGGCAATCTCTCTTGCGGCATGCGGCAAATGTCACTGCAATTACCGTACCCACTCCGCCTCCCCCGCCAATCGATATGACGCATTATTTTTCGTCGTTTGCCTTTCTCTTCTGTTAAATTTGATCGTTTTTTCTGTTTCTTTTTCGTTTTTATGTTTATTTGACTTGATTAATCAGAATGACTCTTCCTATATTAGCGACGATCAAGACCGCATTAGAAGTGAAGAGAGCGGCCAGTCAATTCAAATAATTGAATGACTCCCTAACTCACAAATTGCGCGTTCCAATTTTTCATCGCAATCCTGCGATACGCAGCGGAAGCGGCGTGCGCGACGCCGCTCCTGGAGAAAAGATTCCGGACCCGTGTCAGATATGGTAAACGCGGGAGCCTCAAATCCATAGTGTGGGGGAATCTCAGAAACCATTTTTGTTGCAAACTGTACCTTTAACTCATCATACTCAACTTTCTAGCCTTGCTCACTACCAAGCTATTATTATAACAGCTTCTTTGATAGACCTTGGAATAAGGACTATTTACTGACTCACTTACTGCTACCCAAAATTATTGTTGCTACCCAAAATTTTGATTAAGGAGTAAGTTTCTATTTGGCGAACGAAGATAGGGAGTCTCTTGCCTAATTGTCAAGTGTGGCCTCACCTCAGACTATTAGTCGCTTTTTAAAAATGACAATGGAAAGGAGAGCTATAGTAGTGAATAGGCTTCGATCAGATACTTTCAATTCTTCAATTTCAGCCCCTACAGCAAGTTCCCTGTAGGCGCCGCGTTGCTGACAGACGATGACACTATTATTCTGGGCGGTGAGTCATATTTATGAGCAATTGTTTCGTGAAAGAAGAAGGACACCAACAGCCTTGATCTTTTCTTTGTGATAGGGTAAAGGCACTGTTCACGATAATCTCGAGGTACCTTTTTTGAGTCGAAAAGCGGAACCGTACCACCTGTATCACCTGTCGTCCCGTTGATCGTCGACTTACTCGAGCAGGCACCAGTAACGTCTCCATTCAATCCTGTCACGAGCCAGAGTGGTCCAGTGAATCGTCATCGCTTCAGGGACACTAGGTCCAACATTCCTTCAGTTCAGAGCTTTCGTGAAGAAATCTGATCATATCGTTGGCGACCGTCCTGGAGTTCGTTTGATGTCCCGAGGGATCCAGTCAGTAACCGCTCAGGTTCAACGGTCATCACTATCTCGCATTACGTGTCCGGCCCAGCTAATCTCGATTTCTTGTGATCAACGGCATCTCTGACCTTCGTTCGATGACGGAGCTTGGAATTCCGGATTGCCCTCTGCACTTGCGTGTGTAGGGGAATTCCGAGCATCATCCTTCCCAAAGCGCGCTGACAGCATGCTCATCCTGCTTTCGTATAGTCCAAGTCTCCGAAACGTGCGTCAAAGCAGGAAGGACAGCAGTGTCAAAAGGTGAGCGCGAAGCCGGATGTCCTTCGTCTTCTTCACAACTCCCTCGATATTCCCGAATGCTCTCCACGCGACGCTTTTCCTTCTGCACAGCTCCGGAGCTAGGTCCTTCATCATGTTGAGTTCCCGAACTAGATTGATATAGCTAGAGCATTCGGAGATATTTGTTCCGTTTAGTGTGAAGGGAGCATTAGGTACCAATCCGTTCCGCATGAACATCGTCTTTGTCAGGTTTAGAAAAGATCCGATTTTTCCGCAAGCGTTGTTGAATTTGGCAAGCATATGTTTCGCGCTCGATGCTCGGTGTTATAAGCGTGATGTCACTTGCAAAGCGGAGATGATGAGAGCAGCGGCCGTCGACTTTCACCCATGCTTTCCTACTTCATATGATGCATGATGTTCTCGAGAGCGGCACTGAAAAGCTTAGGCGATACAGTATCGCCCTGTCGAACCCCTCTCTTCACATTGATAATGACTTTTTTGTAGAATGGCGACCTGGTCGTGAAGTTATTGTAGAGCTCACGAAGCATGATCACATATTGAGCAGGAACACCTGTTGCCTACGGCTTCAATTATCGTTTGCCCAGGGCCTCAGCAGGAACACCTGTTGCCTACGGCTTCAATTATCGTTTGCCCAGGGCCTCAGTTATCGCTTCTGTCTCACCAGTATCAAAGGCCTTCTTCAAATCGATGAACGTAAGACATGACGGCATGCAGTACTCCCGCGATACTCCAATGAGTCTTGTAACGGTGTGGATGTGGTCGATTGTACTAAGCCCTCTCCGAAACCGTGCTTGCTCGCATGGCTGCCCTTCATCTAAATAATATTCTGCCAATCCTGTTAAGGATGACTCGTGTGA